ATATCTTGCAGGCATAATATCTCCTTTTTAAAATGAAGTTTTGGCCAGGCATGGTGGATCATGCTTGTAATCCCAGCACTTTGGAAGGCTGAGGGGGGAGGATCACTTGAGGCCAGAAGTTTGACACCAGCCTGGACCACATGAGGACACCCCATCTCTACAAAAATTAAAAAATCAGCCAGGCATTGTGGTGCATGCCAGTAATCATGGCTACTCAGGAGACTGAGGCAGGAGAATCACTTAAGCTTGGGAGGTTGAGGCTGCAGTGAGCTATGATTGTGCCATTGCACTTCATAAGCCTGGGTGGCAAAGTGAGACTCTGCCTAGAAAAGAGAAGTTTTATTGGAACACAACTATGCTTATTCATTTATACATTGTCTATGGCAGAATTAAGTAATTGCAACAGAGACCTTTTGCCTGTGAAGCCTGAAATCTTTCCTATCTAGCTCTTTTAAAAAAGGTTTGCTGACACATGCTGTAGATTCTCAAATGCCACCCATCTATAAACACAAGTGTCATTAATTCTTAGAACCAGATTTGCTTCACAGAGTTTAAATCAAAACTATTACCGTGCAACCAACATCCAGAACACAACCGCTTCAATAAGCAGACACGCAAAAAACCATCTTGGGAGCAGTGATTAAGCACTGGACAAAGCTCCTAAGAAAGTTTGTAGACTATATCTTTGTGTTTCATTAAAAATAAGATGAGAGAATATAGATTATAAGTTTCTCACATTGAAATTTCCATGTTAATTCTCAATTAAATTCTCATGTTAATTGTTACTGACCGTAAGTTTGACTTTTCTTAGGAATATTGTTTTTGAACAAGAAGAAACAAAGAGAAGGAAGCAATCTATTTTACATATATGAATTCTTCTTGGATATTAGTTCTCAGTTTCACGAGTACTGATTTCATTAACCTTGAAATATTGGAGTTTGTATGAAAGGTTATGAATATAAATGAACTCAGTGTTAAAATCTGTCAACATCTACTTTAAATAGCAATGTAAACACTATTAGAAATAAAAGGCTGTTGTGGCAAGCTTGGTGACTAGGTTGATGCGAGTGCTAGAAGGCACAAAGATTATGCCATATAATGCTCATTTATTACTTGCTTAATTTTAAAAATGTGAAGGAAAAATTTCATGTCTGGCTTTGTGTAGCAGGTTAGAGCTAGACCCCTGGGGTCCTCATATACAGAAGGAACAGATTGGCTGATATCTAAGAAGTCAGTCTGAAAACAAAATGTTCCTGAGAGTAAGCAAGAAATAAAAACGATTTATATGTTAAATGTTCCACAAGATCCTTGGCTACCATCAAAGATAAACAACAAAAGACATGAACTGGAATGTGAATGCTATTCAACCGATTGTGTGACATTGGACAAGACACTTAACTAATCTAAATCCTGGTTGTTCATGAATAAACTGAAGCTCATCATCATCATTATCATCACCACTATCATTATCATTATCATCATCATGATATAACCTTCACTAGTATTTGGAAGTTGTTTACTATAGGTCACCCTTACATAGAACATCTCTCTTAATCCTAACATAAAACACATATTATTGTCCTTATTTGACAGATGAGGAAATCAAAGCTTAAAGTAGAAGTAACATTCTGAATGTAACACAAGAGTCAATGACAGAGATGGGCTGCTCCACGACCCAGTCTTTTAACCCTGTGCTAATGAAAACCCTTTTCTAGTATATCCATATATTACTGGTGGCTTTTTGTAAACAAAATATTTTATTTTCTCCCGTGTATTTTTTCTGCATATTCCAAATTTTCTCCCATGATAGCATACATTATTTTCTCTTTTTGCAATTTTTATGTATTTGACACATAATAATTGTACATATATATGGGGTAGTAAGTTTCAATACATACCAGGTATAGCAATAAAATCAGGGTAACTAGCATAATCATCACCTCAAACATTTAAAATTTCTTTTAATGTTGAGAACGTTCAAAATCCTTTCTTCTAGCTATTTGAAAATATACAATAATTTATTGCTAACTATAGTCAACCTATAGTGCTATAGAATAGTAGATCTTTCTCCTATCAAGCTCATTACTGGTGGCTTTCATGTAATTTTTTTGAAAGAAGTTTTCAAAGCATATTAAGAATCAAAAAGTGTTACTGTCCTTTTATCAGGTAATCTCACTTCTGGGAATATTGTTAGGAAATATATAAAAGTAAAGTAAATAAGGACATTCATTGCAGTATTACTTATCATAGTAAACAACTGGAAACTTCTTAAATGTCAAACAAATGAGAAAAGATTAAGTAACTAATGATATATTACACAGTATCTTAAATATTCACCACGAGGCCTATTTAGTAATAAAGTATAATGCATGGACCAATTATGTGAAAAACTGGAATATACAATTATATTCACATTATGATGCCAATTCTGTGGAATTTTGCATGCATAGGAAAAAGGCATGTGGGAATATAAAGAAAATATCAAATATTGTTTCCTGACGTGGTGATGTTTCCAGTGAATTTCTCTTCTATTGTTGTCATTATAATCGGTACGGGTAATGAACGAATTTGGAATGCAACATATATACCTGCTCTACGTACCTCACAGGATAATTGTGAAGATCAGCCAAGAATATGAGTAAATGATATAAACATGAGAAACTGTAAGACATTTGAAATACCATAAGAAACACCAGGCTGGTCTGGTTAGGAGAATAAATCTTGTATTCAGACTGAACAAAATCCTCGGATCTAGGACAAGCGGGTTTGGATGCTCCTCTCATCTGTCCTCATGATCTGGGCCAGAGATTGGCGAACTATGGCCCATGGGCAAAATCCTGTCCATACTCAATTTTCATATGATCTATGAGCTAGAAATACTTTTTAGATTTTAAGTGGTTCAAAGAAAAAAATCAGAGAATACTATTTGATGACCCATGAAAATTATATGAAATTTGATTTTCAGTGTACATACATAAAGTTTTTTTTTGGAACAGAGTAGCACCCATTTACTTACGTAGTATCCATGAATGCTTCATGCTATGGCAGCAAAGTTGAGTGGTTGCTATGAGACCATATTGCCCACAAAGCTTAAAATGCTTGCTATCCTGGCCCTTTACTAAAACAATTCTCTGACCCTTGACCTAGGCCAACTTCAGTTCCTCACATCTTGTCTTGGCCTCATGAGAACTTTATTCTAGAGAATTTTTTTCCCAGTTGCACTTACATGGTTAGAAATACTGCCTTTTTCTAGTATTTAGGCTTTAAAAAATGTTTTCGAAACATAGGGGTTGGGGCCATTGAACGGCTCCGACACCAACCAGGTTTACATTGCAATGTTTGCTAACACACAAATACATGTTCTGGTAGGTGCTCAGTGGGAGATATAGGACCTTCTTGGGCATCAAGAGATTTAATCTTTGATCTGCTCAAAGTTTGACCCATCTGGGTCTCTGTTTCCTCATTTATAATAATGAAGAAAACTGGATGATTTCTGAGGCCCCATTCTACGTTTCTACAATGGCTTGTGTTATTTTAAAGGATGGTGGTTCTTCCTGGTTATTATATGAGCGCTTTTGCTTCTTTGATGATCTCCCTGTCTCTGGGACAATTAACCAGTCATGTTTAAGGCCAGAGATGAAAACTAAAATGCCTGTAGGGACTAGACAGGTGAAATAAATGAGGGAAACTACCTGAGTTAATAGATAGTCTGTGGTAAGCATTGTGGCGTGCTGCAGAGTATAACAGGTCCTGGAATAACATTGTTTCCTTCAGTATCATTTCATTGTAATGCTGATGAGAAAAAAAAAAAAAATTGATCCTAGGCTGGGGCCACTGTCTTCATTTGCACATTCTCCTTATATCTGCATGGATTTTCTCCAGATACCCTGGTTTCCTCCCACATCCTAAAGATGTTAGGTTCATTGGCATGTCTGAATTGTCCCAGTTTGAGTGATTGTGGATGTGTGTGGGAGTGTGTCCTGTGATGGAATGGTGTCCTGTCCAAGGTGGGTTTGCTCCCAGACCAAACCAAGGGTCAGACTGCTATTTCTTAAAGCCCAATAATGAGACACAGATGAACTGGGGAGGAAGAGAGTTTTTATTTATGTAACTGGTTACAGGGAGAAGGCCTGGAAATTATCGCCAGACCAATTCAAAATTACAAAGTTTTCCAGAGCTTATATACCTTCCAAGCGATATGTCTACGTGTAAGTGTGCATTCATATAAAGACATAAATGATAAACTTCTTTTAATCGATAACTAGGGTCTGAGTCCTGAAGATCTTCTTCTGAAGCCTCAGTAATTTACTTCATCTAAATGGGTCCAGGTGTGGGGGTGATTACCCTTATCTGGTCTCCTGCTAAATCACGGAGGTTTGGGGAGTTCCTTTAGATCCAACAAACTTGTTTATGGACGCCTGGGGAGTTTGTTCAGACCCCCAATAAAACTTGTTTAATCCTAAATGGGTCATGTTAATTCCTTCATTATTTTATCATGCTTTCAGGCCCAGGAAAGGCCTCTAGACAAAACTGTTTGTGGGCTTTTGTTACATTCCAGCCTTTGTGTAAGGGCACTGGCTCAATCAGCTTTCATGTTTAACCTCCCTACTCAGTCAGTGCTGGAACAGTTGTAATGGAGGCCTGTGTTATTGAGACCCGGCCTGCCACAGGTGCCCACCTTGTGACCCAGCTGCTAGGATAGGCTATGGTTACCCATGACCCCGACCTGGAATAATTGGGTAAATAGGTACCTTACTTGTTTTTATTACTTTTTCTCATTTGTATGTATACCTCACATTTATTTCAATGTTTAATATTAGAAGTATTTTGGCCTTTATTTAGATGTTTGATGATGTTTTTGTGACCAGAAATATGCCATAGGAACTTAACTCTTGTTTATGTCAATTAGTGTATTATAAAATTGGTTTTCTCAGGTGACCACTGAACCAGTTTTAACCGGTCCTACTTTATTGATAACAGGATATTAAATTATTTTACAGGCACAGAGTGAAGAAATTACGAGTCATACAGCTGAAGTATGCACAGAAAAGATTTCAACCTCAAATAACATCTGGAACTGAAGTTTCACTCCCCTTGTGTATCCTCTTGATACACAAATGTATCAAGACTTGGTCAGAACTGAAGGCCAGAACACTTTCAAAAGTGAAGGGATACAAGCTCAGGAGTGTTAGGTGTTAAGATCCGTTACCATACTTTACCATATATAGTCTTGTTTAAAGTTCTTCCAATCAAAACCTACCAGCCAGCACCTCTGCATACCAGCCTGCTGTCTCTAACCCAGAAAACTTGTCCCAGACTCCAGAATGGGGAGATGGATTTGAGCTTTGTCTCCTGTCTCCTTGCCAGCCAACCCCACAATAAAACTTTTTTTTTTCTTAAAAATTGGCGTCATAGTATTTGTGTCTATGTTAACCAGGAAGCGAGCCCATTCCTCAGTAACAGTTACACATCCTGTCATTTAAAACTTCAGTTTTCAAGAACCTATCAGTGATATTAAGTGATACTTACTGCGCTTAGCCCATCTGAAGGGAGCAGCTATAACTCAGCTCCAGCTGACTATTATTAATTTATGTTGCTAGATCTTTCACATTTTCAAAAGATGGATTTTGATGTGAAATCTAATATATAAATGCAGGCAACTAATTCAAGTTTTAAAAAATACTATGTAACCCTTCTTCCCCAATTCCTGAATGCAGAATGGGCCTCTGAGTTACCATTTTAAGAACTCTTACCTCTATGTGTAGGGTAATTTTTACATAACTTTCCAGTGGGGATGAACAACCAAGTTTCAAGGAACCCTTGGCCATCTGAAAATTGTATCTTCAGAGTATGACACTAAGCTGAGGTGGCAGAATGTGTGTTTCCAAATGAACCTGGCCCTTTTGCTCACTTAGAACTTGCGAGATTTAAAAAAGTTTTGGTATTATGACTCTGATTTTCAATAATAGTACTTCTAAAACTTTATAAACAAGTACTACTCCCCACATTCACTTGGAAGCTGATCTTTTCTGTTTGGCTTCATGTTGTTAGCTAGAACAGATTATTTAGCTCAATTAGAATGGGAGTAAAGAGCCTGGGCTTGCCATGTACATTATTTCTGAACACACTATCCTTTCCTCTCTTCTTTTTTTCTGGGTTGGGGGGATGTGATATATTTGTTTACTCTATGGATATTTATCAAGTGCCTACTAAGTGTAGGAATTGCTCCAGGTGCTGGTGACATAATAGTAAACTAAATAAAATCTTGCTCTCATAAAACTTACATTCTAGAAGGGAAGATAGACAATTGATAAATACATATAATGTTAGACAGTGATAAGTGTTAGGAAGGAAAATAAAACCAATGAAATGTAAGGAGATAGAGAGTGATGGGGAGTATGATTTTAGGTGGTATAGTCATGGAAGGCATCCCCGAGGAGGTGACGTTTCCAGAGAGATCCAAATGAGGTGAAGAAGCCATTAGAATATTTCTAGGCAGAGAGAACAGCACATACAAACACTCCTGGGCAAATCTCTTGGTGTGCTTGAGGACTGTCAAGGGGGCCAGTGTAGATGGAGCTGCTGTCAGCCAGGGGAATAGTAATAGGAAATAAGATCCAAAAGGTAGCCAATTACCAGATCCTGTAGGGTTTTATAAACGTAGCGAAGACTTTTATTTTAAGAATGTAGGAAAGCCATTTACAGGGGTGACATCATCTGATCACCTTTTAAGAAGATCACTGTGGCTGCTGTAGGCATAAGGGTTTCCAGCAGAAGTACCTGTTAGGAGGCCATGGCAGTGATCCAGATAGATGAATGATGCACTCGGCTGGTAGCAGTGGATATTCTGAGAAGCAGTTGGATTTGAATAATATTTTCAGTGGATAGAGGTAACTTTTGTTCATTGTTTAAGATAATTCAAAAGCTGCCTTCTCTGAGAGATATTTCCTGAACTCTTCCTCCTTGCCAGTTGAGTTTCCCTCTCCTGTGGTCACCTAAGCAGCCCACTTTTACTTCTTTTTGACATATTACATTTTTTTTTGCATTATACTCTGAGCAGTCAGGGGGAACCAAACCAGTTTTTCAACTATTTGCTTAGAATTGTCAGCTAAATATCCAATTTCATTACTTGCAAGTTCTACCTTTCACAAAACACTAGAATAAGAACACAATTCAGAATAATTCTCTGCCACTCTATGACAAATATTGCCTTTTTAAAAATTGTTCAATAACATGTTCCTCATTTCTGTATGAAACCTTATCAGAATGACCTTTACCATCAGTATGTCTACCAACATTCTGTTGATGATTAGTTATGCGTTCTCTGAGAAGATGGAGGGCTTTTTCTTTCACTCTCCTCTTTTCTTTCCGAGTTCTCACTAGAATCCCATTTGGCAGTACCTTAACAGTGATCTCGAATTGTTCTGGTATGCATCTGAAAACCCTTCTAGCCTCTATCCATTATTCAGTTCCAAAGCTGCTTCTATGTTTTTAGATATTTGTTACAGCAGCACTCCATTTCTAGGTACCAATTTCTGTCTTAGCTCTGGGTGATACAAAAATACCATAGACTGGCCGGACTCGGTGGCTCACGCCTGTAATCTCAGCACTTTGGGAGGCCAAGGCAGGCGGATCACGAGGTCAGGAGATCAAGACCATCCTGGCTAACACAGTGAAACCCCGTCTCTACTAAAAATACAAAAAGTTATCCAGGCGTGGTGGCGGGTGCCTGTAGTCCCAGCAGCTCAGGAGGCTGAGGCAGGAGAATGGCGTGAATCCGGGAGGCGGAGCTTGCAGCGAGCCGGGATCGCGCCACTGCACCCCAGCCTGGGCGACAGGGCGAGACTCCGTCTCAAAACAACAACAACAACAACAACAAAACCCCATAGACTGGGTGGTCTAAACAACCAAATATTTAATATATATATCTTATATGTATGTCATATATACATTACATATATTATGTAATATATTGCATATCTTTTGTATATCATATATAGTCTCTATTATATGTAATACATATATCTAGTCTTTCTCTCTCTCTCTCTCTCTATATATATATCTCAGGGTGCTGTCAGTTCCTGTTCTTGGTAAGCGCCCTCTGCCTAGCTTGCAGTCACCTGTGTCCTGATCTGTCTGCTTGTAGTTGTAGCCTCACCTGGTGGAGATGGGAGGACCTATTTTTAAAAGGGCACTAATCCCACCATAGGGGTTCCATTCTTGTGATTTCATCTAAAACTAATTTTCTCCCTAGGGCATCACCTCCTAGTAGCATAACATTGGGGGTTAGGGCTTCAATGTATACATTTTGAGGGGACGTAAACTCCCTGTTTCAGTCCATAACAGAAAATGATGGCTATTGATGTTGGAAATCAGCATTGACTTTGCCTACATAAATGCAACATCGTTAAATGAACAGTTCTCAATGGACATAAGTCTATACTTGGGCAAAGTGGTTTAACAGCAGCAAGTACTATTTAAAATTGTTTTGACGGGAAGGAAATGGTTTATAAATGGAATTTCTAATGCAAGTTGCTGTTTTGGCTCTGAGTATGGAATCTAAGCATGGTAATCCCAAATAGAGCCCCACCTTGTGGTTAGCAGAGGAAGCTGCTCATCTCAGGAAACGAGGGGTTTGCTTTCTATTCTTTAATAGTGTGGGCTGAAGTAGATGCTTTCTTGATTTTTAAAAGCATTTTTTTCCTGAATTTTATCATTATATTAATCATCTTCACATGGATACATAGCTGATAAGCAGTGCTTGATTTTATGACCCTTTAGCTTTGCCATTTGTTTCCCATATGCCCTCTTAGAATGTCCTTGGTACACAATCCCCTCACCTGTATGTTATTTCTGGTCACTTTTTTACTCTCAGATGACTCCAACTAATCAATTACTGAGCTGAATTTGGCGCAGGGAGTATTTGCCTTTCAATAATGAAAGCCTCTTGATAAAGTAAATGCCTTTAGGGCCCTACGGAATGACTCAATAATAGTGTGTGCTGGACATTTTGGCGTAAGGTGGGAGAAATATTTTGGATGGAAAGAAAAGCAGGAAGAGAGGTGCCAGACTTATTTCAATGTAACTCAATCTATACTATATAGGAAATTAAAAATATAATACAATTGTAATAATTATAAGCATAGTCTATTTTTTGTTTCCTTTGAATATTGCAACTAACACATTTTTCTCTTTTGCCAATAAAGGAAAACAAAAATATTTCACTCTAAAATATACTTCAGTGACATATTTCAAGAGGGCTATTCAGAGGGCCTACAGACAGGAATAGCCCTGAAAAGCTGCCTTTTGTGGAAGAAATTTGCATCTGTAGAGAAAAATCCACATTAGTGAGATAAATACCCAGACTTTCTCTGAGGGCCCCCCCCCTTATCCAGATCTAGAAAAGATGTACTCAGCCACAAACTACCATCTCTTTTTTTCTGAAAGCTGCTGTCTGTGAAGTTTCATGTAAATAACAAGCCCACCTTTGCCCCATGCCTTTGTTTCTCCCTCCTGTAACCATCTTGCCGCACTCCAAGCCCATGTTTTTTCTATAATCTCAAGATGGTATAAAGGCATTAACCACCTGGCCGTTTCTTTGAGTTTTCACGTTTTGCATTACTTCCATGCGCACGTGTGTGCAATAATCAATTTTGTTTGGCTTTTCTCCTAATAGTGGGCCGTTTGTCAGTTGATTTTCAGTGAACCTTCAGAAGGCGAAGGGGACGTTTCTCCTTGGTTTCTGCACTTTTGCTGTATTGAGCAGGATAACCGAAACCACTCTGCTCCTCTGGATGTCACATCAAGGAAACCCAGGATCTGACACGCCAGCTGTAGGGTAAGAATATCTTCCCAGTCAGACTCCCAGGTGTCTGTCACGAATCCTGTTGAGAGGTTGGTAAAAATCACGATTATCTCTTTTTCCTTTTTCAAATTAAGATTAATGGGAGAAAAGCATTTACAGTAGTCTTAGATGAAGCAGGTCTGGTTTATTTTTTAGTATAAATATTCATATGTTTGGTCCTTGTGCTCTTAAAAGTAATGGCAAAACCCGCAATTACTCTTGCACCAACCTAATATCTCAAACTTCTCAAAGTTTAAGAGTGACTCTAGGACACCTTCTTCCATTTGCTATGCCTCTCCTTTTGCCACCTTCAGTCTCCCATCTAGCGTCCTTAAGTTATTGATATGTTCCCCTTCAAGACCATAATTCCTCCATTTGGTGGTCACTGGATGAAAAACTGCAGAAAAAAAATAAGAGAGTTTCGATTACCACATCAACAGATCTAAAAGATATGCTAGTGACTCTGGGACCCCTTGAGGAACAAAGCCAAGGTGCCAGTGACCCCTCTTT